CCTTGAGATACTTGTAGGCATTGATAAGGTCTCCCCTCAGCCTTCTCTTCTCCAGACTAAAGAGTCCCAGCTCTCTCAGTCTCTCCTCATAAGGGAGATGCTCCAATCCTTGAATCATCTTTGTTGCCCTTCGCTGGACTCTTTCTAGTAGTTCCCTGTCCCTCTTGAACTGGGGAGCCCAGAACTGGACACAGTATTCCAGTTGTGGCCTCACCAGTGCAGAGTAGAGGGGGAGAATGACTTCCCTTGACCTGCTGGCCACACTCTTCCCTATGCAACCCAAGATCCCATTGGCCTTCCTGGCCGCAAGAGCACACTGTTTACTCATTGTCATTTTACTGTCCACCAGGACCCCTAGATCTTTCTCTTTGTAGATTCTAATCACCCTTTTTCTTTCCCAAGTCCTTTACAGTTCCAAACTCTACAGATTCTTCAAGTACATCGAGAACCGCGACGTCGCAAAAGCTGTGTTAAAGGAACGGGGCCTGAAAAATATTCGCATTGGCATTGAAGGTAAAGGATTTCTTCCACAAAGGAAATTCTAAAACAGGTGACTCCGTGCTCAGTAAAGCCTGGTTTCCTCTGGCCTCTAGGCATTTCCTGTTTTGCTCTGTGTTTTGCTAGGCATTTATTTTTATGAAACTAGTAGAAGCTGGGCATGTTCCTTCACCTCTATCATGTTACACTGAAATTGGCCGGGACGCTTAAAAGTTAAGGAAAAAAAAAAAAGGAAAGATACGTAACACGCACCAGCAAGGTCAGTTTAGAACCCAGTAAACAGGAAACAGGAGTCAAACGTTTCCACCTGCTGATCTGAGCACTCCCTTGGGGAGCTCAGAGAATGTCGTGCTCTGTCCTGGGAGACTCTGAGTTTTATAGTAGCTGTTTGTTCACCAAACGGCCACGGCTGCGCAGCCCTTGATCCTGTGGCTACACACAGGGGAAAAGAAAGCAAGCCAATAATGTGGAATGTGAGCAGTTGTCCACAAATTCCCTCCCTGTTCCCATAATGGCTCCTGCCTGGTTGTTTTTCTGGGATCCTCTTGTCCCTTTGCCCAAATCCCTCGTGTGTCGTGCGACTGACCGGCTGGCTGTGCTTTCAGGGTACCCCACCTGTAAGGAGAAGGTGAAGAGGAGACCTGGTGGCCGCTCAGAGGTGATCTACAACTACGTCCAACGCCCCTTCATCCAGATGTCCTGGGAGAAGGAAGAAGGAAAAAGCCGTCACGTTGATTTCCAGTGCGTTCGGAGCAAATCTCTAACCAACCTGGTCACGGTGGGCGATGACGTTTCAGAGGACCACGAGGTTATAATGCACCACCCCCCCCAAGTAGATGAACTGGACAGGCTCAACGCACCCTTTTCCCAGATGGCTGTTAACGATCTACCCGATTAGTGGTGGCTCAGGGTGGAAAGTCCTGCTTGATGTGGGAACACGTCTCGGCGTAGTTTCATCCCAGGGGATGCTGCCAAGGTGCTTTCTCTTCTTAGTACGTTGTCATATTTCAAGCATGTTAATAAAGAGCCACACTGCATAGTCTAATTGTGCAATCAAAAGCAACGTCTCCTCAAACAGAAAGAAAAATGATGCTGTTTGTTTCTACTACAAAGGCTTCCAGACTGGTGGGTGCTGAATATTTTACCTAAACTTCTCAAAAGAGGAACGGCAGTATTTAGAAACGTCTTGTTTGACACGAGAGAGGAAATTCTGGGCCTGTCAAGACAAAGCTTTCCTTCACCATTAGGCACTTAGCTTTGCTTTCCTGATAATCGGTTACAAAGGACGCAACATCAAAGCGGGACAGATGATCCATGACTCTTTTATCAACCAGCAGAAATGTAGCACAGTTGTGACAGCAAAACCAGGAGTGTGGAGGAATCTGCTTAAGCTGGCAGCGGGCTGAGCATCCAGCACATTGTGCAGCTTTTCTGGGGAAGGAGGAATTAGTTCAGTAGGAAGCATCTACCTGTTCACAGGAATTTTCCATCCATACTTCTCCATGAGGTGGCATCACTGGTTTTAGGGATGTTGTCTGTTAAGTTCAGTCAAACCAGTAGATCGTGTGGAAGGAAAAAGCAAACCAGAAGAGTCTCTAGTTGATATTTTACCAACAAAGTAAATCTGTTTAGTAGCCTAATAGATGTAAGCAGCTTTCTAGAGGTGACTGTGCATGCCAAAGACTTCCAGTTGTCTCCATCCCCCTGCTAAGACAAAAAGCCAGTGGAGGAACTCCCAGTACAGACAGTTTACTACCTGAGTAAAACCCTTCCTTGGTCTCATCAGCCTTGATCAGTCAAAATTCCTGTAGACTCTCCAAAGAGCAACTGTTGCAGCTTTAAAAAGTCAGCCGTTTTCTTCCCAATTTGGAACTGACTGGACCAGTTTGCTATCAGGCAGGTAAGAAATGCCAATAATAGACCAGCCTTCAGTAGTGAAAAATATAGGTACCTGGGAACAGCTCTCCTTTGCTGCTTGGAATATGTCATCCTAGTCTGTGGTTAAGGCTCTGCTCCGTTTGGATTCGGGGCCAACAGAGCTGTGACTGTAAATACAGACACACTCCAGGCTGGTTTAGCTGGGTTTGTTGTAAACTGGTCCAGTTCCTGCAGTGTGGAGTTACCCTTGGGCTTCCTTAACCTCCTGTTTCTGATGTAGAGGTTTTACGTACCCAAAGTGAGTTACTTAAATGTGGTGCTGGTGCAAAGAAAAGCTGAAATCCATTCAAAAAGAAATGGAGGGAGGGAGCTCCTTTGCAAAGTTTCAGTTCAGGTCAGTTCTCCTCTTGCTGTTGAAACCTGGAACACGTAGGCATTGAGTTACCTGGTTATACGGAGTAAAATAGAGGTGGGCTTCAGTCTGCTCCTAGAAGGTTTAATCCTTTGTTGTCAGGGTTGTGTCATCAAGCAGATCTTTATTATTCTCTGTCTGTCTGCAAAGTGTGTGGTAGATTTAGCATTGAAGATTGCTGTTACTGTTTTGCTGCTAATCAGGAGGGGTTTGCTCAGTGTGAGTAACGTGACGATATCAATCCCAAATCTTCCTGAAGGTTTCTAAGTGTCGTTTTAGTGAAGAGTAACAAAATCTCTGCTAAAATAGATCTAAATCTGTCCTGATAGATTTAGTTCCCATTTGTATGGAAGCAGGTTCCGTTATTTGCAGTGTTTCTGTTCTTAGCTTCTTTCCTAAGTGCAGCAAATAGATTTCTTCTTTTTTATAAGTGCCTCTGGGAGGATTTCCAAAAGTGCTTCAGGACATGCCGCGAGTCCCGGGGTTCAGATGCCCAGCTCCACCTGATCCCTTTTGAAAAATCCCTCCCTGCGTGTCGTTGGATCAGTTTAGAGAAGTGTCCTTCAGTATCTGCACAGAGGTGGTGTGTGCAATCCCTTCCCATTATTGCTCTAGAGGAATTTCTATTTTTGTAGTAGAGAAAGGAAGACAATATGGACCATTAACCTGCCAGCAAAGGGCCAGACCAAACCCATTCCCTCCCTTGGTAACGAGCCGTTGCCATCCCCCAAGTCAAGCAAAGGTGCTGGTGAGACTGTCCCCCCCCAGCAGTGATGGAACTCGCCCCCCCGGCCCCATGGATTATTTGTGTGTGTGTATTTATTTTTACAGCAATGTTAAGTTTTAAGTAAATGTGTGTTGGTATTGACCAGCTGACTTGGAATCGGAGTCTACTCGTGTTCTGCTCTGAGGACTTGAAGGTGCAGGTTGTTGAGTGTGACCCTACAGGGCTGTGTCCAGGCATCAGATACCCAACATCTTACATGAATCACAAAGTGGTTTGTGTTGGAAGGGACCTTAAAGCCCCCCCAGTGCCACCCCCTGCCCTGGGCAGGGACACCTCCCACCACACCAGGTTGCTCAAAGCCCCGTCCAGCTTGGATTGATGGCACTTTTTGGGATTTGACAGCAGAGCACCACCTTCAGCCAAAACAAATCCCACCAGAGTCTGTCCCTGAGCCCAGTGTTACCTCAGCCTCTTGAAGGATTTAGCCAGTTCATTAGAAATGGTGACCCCGGGCACTTCATTTCAACCAGCCATTGCCTGAGGGATAGAGACTGTGCAATGCCTTGGAGGAGGTTGTTGATACCCTGTGTCATCATCTGGACCTTCGCCATGGGATGGAGGTATCTGCTTTCCATGAGTTCCATGCAGTTTTTATCACTCCAAAAAAGCCACAGTACTTTATTGGCTTTCCCAAGTAGTTCAAGATGAATTGGGATTATTTTGTTTAGTAGAGTAAGTAAGTTCCATTAGAACACTACATCAAATCGAAGAAGTATGTATTTGCTTTTCCTCCTCCTGTCATTGTCACCTACTATTGAGGTACAAGATGAAGTTTTGTCTTACTCTAGATATACCGAAGTGTTACCCGGTGTGTGTATGAACTACAGATGTATGGGTTCTTTTCTGTATTAAAGTATAAATTATACATGAATGGTTTGGCTCCTTTAAAAACATTTTTAAACGTGGAGTAGAAGAATGGGCAGGGGCTGGATTGCTAGAAGACTTTCTCCTGGCTTCATAAAGAAGATTTAGAAATAGAACCTGGTTGATTTGGGAGGGACCTGGTGAAGCAGCCCCACAGAGAGGACCTCAACGTTCACCATCTGGATGCTGTGATGTTCTAAAAGCAGCACATAGCCCAGGTATGAGACAACACTGTTTGACCCCCAAGCTATGCAGCATCTCCACCAGGCCCTCCTGCTATTTTTGGTTAGTTTGCTGTGAAAGACGCTCTCTCCGCCTCTACCCGCTTCTGTCTTTGGAAGAAAACAGCTTTGGAGCAGGTCTGGCTTTTATTTCCATCTCCAGTGTTGGATGGATTTCAAAGGTTTTCTCCATGAAGCTTGAGAAAGGCATTAAGAGTTTGGAACAATGCTGGAATTTACTGCAATTACTGAGGTGGTAACAGGAACTCGTACTCACAAGTGGAGCTGTCACAAAAGTGAAGCAATTAAATAAGAACTGCAAGTTGATTTTGGCACGGCACAAACTGGTAGAAAAAGAAAATGAAGGGGCAGAGCTTTGCTTCCAACGCCACTCGCTCACTGCTTATTATCCCTTTTAAAAATAGAAAGAGGAAAAGATTAAAAACAACTTGCCCTGGAGTTGGTAAGCTGAAGTGACATTTACACAGGGCAGAAACCTCGGGGTTGTCCATCCCTGCCAGGTACATTCTGCCCAGAAAAGCTTCATTTTTCTGAGTATCACCACTATCTTTCATCATTAATGATGCTCATTTCTTCATGTCTGCTCTGCATCTTTTGGAAATGCAATTTTCAACCCAGGAGTTACCATTGCATTCTCCTACCCAAGCCCTTGATTCCAAAATCTAAATTCTAAAGTCTGGGGGAAAAAAAAAAAACAAACACCCAACCCTGAGAGATTCCAGTTTGTAATAACAAAACATGCTGGCAAAAGTGTTTCCTAAGAGGATTTTATTTACACAACACAATGTAAAGATCATTCCATAAAAAGTTGGCTCCCCCCAGCAACACACAACACACTTGCCAATTTTTTTTTTTTTACAGTGCAATTTAGTAACAGCTTTGAAATATTTACAGAACACTTTTTCAACGTACAGGTTAAGGCAGAGTCAGGGCACAGTGATAAGAAACACTTAGTGCAGATTTGTGCTAGGTGGGATACAGGGATGAACTGGCAGCATAACTCATGTTCAGATCCATTGGAAATCCAGATGGGAATGACTCTTAGAAGTCCAGCAACTGCTTGCAGCTTGGAAAAAAAAAAAAAAAGAGCTAAAAGATACTTCTAACCTCAATACACAAGCCAGCAGCTAAGAAAAATGTTTGGCTAACGTGGGAGATGGAACAGGTGTACAAAAATCTTGATGTTTGCAGTGAAGGATGGATCCTGGAAAGAAAATGCTGTATTTTTTGTTGGTAAAACACTGTTGGTAAAGAGGTGTAAGAGGAAACAGGCTCAGGATGGAGCTGTCACACACACAACCCCCAGCTGGGAAGGTGAGGACTACGCTCAAAGACATCCAACTTCTACTGAAAAACAAGAGGAGTGAGGTACCCAACTGCTCCTTGTGCCTCTGAAAAAACTTCACTTTTAACTCCAAAAGTGAACAATCTGAGGTCTCAGAAGACTTTAAGACACATGCACTAAAAACTCACAATACATATTACTCCGTAGGGTTTTTTCACAGCAAGTTATCACAACGTCTATTTGTGTAGCTTTTTCATCTTTGGTATTTATAAATAAAAATGCCAGTCCCTTTTAGTAAAGGGATAATAATGCAGCTACTCAAAAGCATTTATTCCTAATCCACCGCAGCTTTGCAGGATTTTTTATTATTGTTTTTAGTTTTTAAGGCAGTATCTAAGCTGTTAGGAATTTTTAAAAAGGTTTTGACGTTAATATCTCTTTGTTTCCCCGTGGTTTATAAGGCAACATTTTCAAATGGTTAGAAGAAAAACTGCAGGAGGAGGAGATGGAGCAATTTGAGAAGTTGGTATCAGTCTTTTGTAAAAACAAAAAAGGGAGCAGAAGGTGTTATTCCTGACTAGTTGATAAAAAGCCTGATCCTATAAATGATTCCTTCAGTTAGCCCTTATCTGAGTAAGCCCTACTGACTACAGTGATCCTGGTACTTCTAATTAAGGCTATTTTTGC